AACATCCACCGCATCGAGCATCAAGGAGCTTATAAAACACAACCCCCATGTGACCATGCAGAAGCCCACGGACAGTTACATGAAATTTAGGTACCACCAGATAATCTGACATCCCAGCTCTAGTACATCAAGCTCACGGACAAAGCTAGCTAAAACGCTGTTTGCCTTAGAAGCAGAACACGTAGGAGACTCCGTTGTATAGAGAGAAATTCTTATCGTTAAATGATCATTTTGAGTACCCAGGTGACCTGATTCCGTAGAGGAAATTCTAACCGGGATCAGCAGACTGACAATAGATGAGTCCCCGCTTGGATCAAACACAGTGCCATGGCAATCTTTTTCACAAAACTAAAAGCCAAAAGTGCATCTGCGGTGGTTCATCTCACTCTTTCCCTGCTTCAACGTGACATCCTCGGCGCAGTCCTGCTCCCTCCGCTGCTTCCTCCGCTGGTTCCTCCTCGCCTGGGAATCCAGGGTTGGAAGGCAATGTGGAAAAGACACATGTTCCGACTCGGGATTCGAAAGGAGATCCGATCACGTGGGGAAAAGAGTGGGCTCAGCTAAAGGACGCACCCAACAAACACGCGGATGTATTGGCAGCTCCGTGTTTCAAAGTTCTATGATTTTGCCTTGGATAGGGCGCTGCACAACCACAGCCAAGACATACTGTAATTGCATCGCACAAAAGCAATGATACACATACGTGTCCATTGAGGAAAGGCCTTAGGTACGTCCAACGCGAAGCAGTGCCCGGCCGCCTTAGCTGGCGCTTCGGTGCGGCGCAACGGGCTAAAGGCCTGTGCGCGTGGGGCGGTCGAGTAACAGGAAAGGAGTCAGGGCGAGAGCAACTCTAAAGAATAAGAAGGAACATGGATTATTCATTTCCAGACCACAAAGTTCCACTAGACAAATGCTTCAAAGTGGATGAGAAGGAGTGCCATTTTCCGAAGAGCAAGGAAGGCGTGGTACTGTGTGGCCTTAGAAGGAATCTAGCTCCAGAAAGGTGTGCTGTAAGCTGACAACAAAGAGCATCGGTCGACGCCCTGTGCGGCCGCGAGGAGCTAAATCAAAAAATGACGTGGCAAGCGTGGAGACTAGCGGGAGGAATGCTCAGGCTCAGTGGCTGCCAGGGCTGCTCGGATCTCAACAACCAGTGCTGGATCCACTCCCGGCTCAGATTTGCAGAGGTAGTACGAGTTCTGGAAGGTGGGAGCGAGATCCTTGGCCCAGGAGACGAGGGCCGATGCCTCCAACGGCGTGGAGCGCCGCACATATCCGGTCGGGGTGGTCTCAGCGGCAAGGCCCAGGGCGTGCAGCTGGTGGCGAAGCGGGTATGTGTTTCCGCTGATTTGAAGTTGGAACATGTCTGTCCCCTCCTGGCTGCTCTGCACGGTGATGGTGGGATGCGTGTTGCCGCCAGGAGCAACGGCTTCTGCAATGGACATGCTTGGATGCTGCCCGGGCTGCATATGGAGCTGCCAATTGACAAATTGCGCTGCATCAGCCAGCGTCAGGTTGGTGCCGTGAACGTGGACGTCCAAGACACGATGAGCCGGATACAAGGTGGCGACTTGGTGCGCAGTGAAGGCGTGGAGGTGGTGCAAAGCCGCAGCAACCGCCTCACTGCCGCCAGCGTACAGGGCACGCTGCCATCCAGGTGCTGCGCCCAAGGTCCAGCAGAGCTGGCACATATCAGCCTGAGCAGAAGGGGCGGAGAAAAAGTAGAGAAATCATGGACCGAATGAATGAAGTATGAAAGTATATGGAGCATATCTAATGGTCTGAGGTGGGCGCCAAATCCATGAGACTTGCCGGCATTGCAGTGTCCTGTTGGTGCATGGCCGCGATATACTTCTCCAGGCTTGTCTTGAGTTGGTAGAGAACCGAAGGCGCAGCCTTGTTTCCAGCCTGTTGAAGCAGGAGGATATATGCAGCAGCATTGGGTTCGAAAGACTCATGGCAGGTGCTGCCATCCTCACAGTATTTGTGGATCGCAATGTGCAGCGGAGCGGGCCCGCTGGAGCGAGCACCCCCGCCAGAGCGGCGGCGAAGAAGGAAAGGCGCCGGAGCCTTGGATGGAGGCGACGTGGTCCCAGGAGCGGCAGTGCCGGGAAGTGTCGGTGTCAGTGGTGTGGCGGGCTCTGGTGTTGCCGGTGTGGCGGGCGCGGAAGCGGGCCGGACAGGAGAGGCTTCGGTAGAGGGCGAGGGAGGGGCCGAACGCTTGGCCGGGAGCAGTGGGGCATTGGCTGCGTGAGAGCCTGATGCTGAAGCAGCACCAGAGGCTTGTGCCGCCGCTGGCTTAGGGGCCGCTGACTTGGACGCCTTTGGAGCCATTGCAAGAGAGCAGCAGCGAGGTCCCGAAAGACGTAGGCGAAAGTCAAGAAAAGTCAAATGAGAAATGGCTGCAGGGCACAGGAGTAGAGCGGTGTGATGCATAGAGGAAAAGGAGCTGAAGCAGCACGCGCTGCACCTGGTCGAAGACAGCGCGAATGGCCGGCGGCTGCCTGTGCGGAGTGGAGGTAGAGAGGAGGAAGATTCAACGGGGGGTGAGGGCCCATTCAAACGGCATGTGAGTGTGGCTAGCGCAGGAGCAAAGCGTAAAATAAGGAACAGGAGCTGCTAGGCCGTGTGCAGCTGTGCAGGTCATCTGCTGGGTGGGCAGGCGGCAGGCTGTCTGAAGAAGAAGTTCTATCTTTCCTGGAAAACGTAGTGTGGAAACATGGGGTTTTCCGACAGGGGGCATGTAAACCGAAGAAAAGGATCTGCGGCGTCGTCTCTGAGGAGTCAAGAATCCAAAGAAAAATCCTTACATGAGTGAAACAGTGGTTGAACAGAAACAGATATATTTAATAGACCTGTTTTGAGAAAAAATTGCGAATGATGCAGCCGGAGTCCGTGCCATGTTATTGGCGCTTCGCAGAGCGACACACCCAGAAATGAAGCGCTTGGATCTGTGGGTATCCTTTCTTGGACCAAAACCTCAAGGCCTCTTCACCAAAGGCGTATATGCGTCCGTCGCTCAAGAATCTTGATACATGGAGGGTGGTGTACAGCACGTGCATCCTGGTACCCGCTAAACTACCCGCTAAACTACCCGCTGGTACCATCGCCAGTCCTCACGAACGAGGACTTGACTGCCCAAGTTCATACCCTAGGACTCCAACCATAGATAGACCCCCGAAATCCACCCCAACCATCTTCTCAGAAGGTGGTTGGAGCCTTAGGGATATATGACTCCAAAGGTGCCTCCGCATCCCCCCCAACAGCACTGACTGGAATGCTCCGAGGATCAGCAAAAACCGCCGAATGTGGACACCTGCTACACGAGCGCCTGGCAGTGTCTACACGTCAGGGAGACCCGCATGGAAGTGCAGTCGCCAGACTTCGGGAGACCAAATCACTATTCAGACTTAGTCTGACTCGAGACCTTCGAGAACTCAAATCATCCAATAATCCATGTTCCAAACGTTTCTTATATAGGTTTCTCATAGGTTTCCCATGTTCGTTCTCCCAACTCCCACATGCCTGTCTTCGGAATCATCGAAGTTGGCCTCCCGTGCGTCCCGAGTGAAGCGCAACAGAATGAGTGAAGGAGCTACGGTCCAAGATCGAGCTCTGCTCTTGGATTCGGTATATTTTGGTCTTCGTGGTTCTCAAAAATGCTGAAACTCCACCAACCTAGGCTAGGACCCTAGAACCTACAGTTTGATGGAGACTACTTGCACGAACCTCCTCGTGCATCAATAGACCATCATCAATGGGTGTCTACTCAGATCCTTGGGTCTTCGCCAAGTCTTTCGCAGGAACCCTAGAAGCCCTGAACAGCACCTGGGAGTATGGGAGTATGGGGTTCAGGTGATCCTCTATGGAGGGTAAAGCAAATAATTCATCTTGCACCGGAACAAGCATCATTGTCTCAAACTCCGCACATGGAAACGGTGCACGAAACCTTTGCCAGCTTTGCGTACACCGGCATGGATTCAGCATATTTTCATCCTTCAACAGAAGGACCCCTGAATGAACTTCTTATAGGATGCCAATATATATATATATAGTATTAAAAGAAAAACAAACAAACATGAAATCCAGTATCGTCTCCGCATGATCAAGTCCTGGCAAAACCAGGTCCATGTGGTTCGCTTGCTCCTCGCACGTCCCCCTTCGTCGGGTCCCACCTCGACGGCGGCGGTGCCTCGTCTGACCCAGCGCACACGAGCCGCACTCTTCCCGAAGAATCGCCCGAAGACGGAAGGGTTTTGAGGGTGACCCCTGCGATGTCCAAGGATTCTGAGAGTTGCTGGATTCTCAGAGTTGCTGGTAGAGATCATGTTATATCATTTTCCCCAAGACCCCAAGTCCGGTCTGGATATTCAGACACGAAGTTGGGTCTCAGAGTAGCCGCATCACCGATCCTAAGCTCCAGGATCGATTTCTAACACCCTTCCTCCAATCAGCGATGTGAACAACTGGGAAAGACTAGCCCCATAGGAGAAACGAAGGGTACTGGCTAGGCTCCACCAGAAAAACAATTGAATTCTGGACTCAGTAGTGGACCTTGATAAATTTTAAATCACTGGCACTGGGGCTATGAAGAAGTTGATATGAGAATTCCTTCCGTCGACAAACATGCTCTGTGAACAAACGCAGGTTTCAGTTTCTTTCATCGACTGATGGAAGTGACACTCTCAGAGTGGCACGATCAATACCAAGGATATGATTCTTAGTAGGTATCAGCTGTATATGTATGATATATAGGCCCTTAGGCAGTTGTTGGGCACATGCTGTGACTTCCCCTATCCTTCATCTTCTCCATTCTTCTCATGCGCATGCCATCCAAACCCCAAGGGCCCGGGCAGCCATACTGGGCCGGGTGGCACTGGGTGGCGGCGGCTCCTGAAATGGCGCCAGGTCTCTTCTGGTTAGTTCTGTATTAGGAGTGCCATGGAGTGCCTATCCGACGTGCTGTCACAAGTCTGTTCTTCTAGATCACAATTCTCCAAGAAACCACCACGGCGAAGATGGTCATAACAGATATGACTGACACGCACATGCCTGCAGGACCCAGCAAAAACCACGCTGGGAGGCGCCGTGGGAGGTGCTGTCTCCAATTCGCTTAGGTGACACCAGCGACAAAACACGACACGCTGACACGCTGCAAGGATTCCGGCCTCCTTGCCTTTCCATGGAGGGCGTGGCTTCGAAGGGCTCGCCCTGACCAGTGGTTCTGTTCGATATGATGAACACGTAGGTTAACAAATGTTGGTATCATATGAATCAATCGCATGATATCATGATATATATGTATATACACATGTTCATTTATAATAACTACATGTACATATATATATGTATGTATATTTATAATATAACGGACTATTATATCTACTATTACATACTGTATTTAATATATCATCCCTAGCTACTTCGACCTGATCACTGGGAATTCATGAAACACCGCTCGCTCCCCGCCTCTCATCCGACTCCCAGGGCGCCAGCGAGCTGCCCTGGGGGGTTGAAATCACCGGAGCTGCCATGTTTTTTTTCAGCGCAAACGAAGGGGATCATGCAACCCCACAAAAAGGGATCCTAGTATTATGTGTTTTAACGCTGTTTTATTATGTTCTGTTATTTATATATATATAAATCCTCTGGTTACAAGGTGGTGAGATGTCGCAGGATGATTGAAGGGTCCAAATAGCCATAGAAAGCCAATGGGAGGACATCATAGAAAAGTGGAACAAATACGGTTTTGTTCCAAAAAACAGTTGTGACATTCAGACCGAAGCTACTGAAGCGGATACATCAGCCATCTTGGCACCTGCGATCGTTCGCTGTGACCGCTTTCTGTGGAGTCTTCGAGCAGACCATTCTC